TACTCTAAGATGATTAGTAACTTTTGACAACTTTTAGGCCTATAACGCACTAACACATCTCAGATACGTAAGTTAACTTTGTGACAAAATCCTCAAGTTCAGATTAAGTGAGTGTCACTAGATGACAAAATCACCATCTCAGACTATAGCTGCTGAAACAGTGGCAATGGTTCAATGCCAAGATTTAAATACATGTTGCACGTTCATCAACTTGGTTGTTGTTATAGTCGATTATATTACATGTATTGTACATCCATATTGACATAAAGTGTGTGGGTTATGAGGTGCGCTGGTTCGACTCTTTTTGCCGCAGCCAGCTAGGGCTAAGTGGGATTCTTCATTCTAGAAAACTGACGGAGATATATTTAGTAGTTAGTTGTTGTTGTTGTTGTTGCTGCTGCTGTTGTTGTTGTTGTTGTTGTTGTTGTTGTTGTTGTTGTTGTTGTTGATAGAAGCAGAATGGTGTAGAACCGGTTATTTAGGAGTACAAATTATTCTGGCATGTTCTACAATCTTACATCTTGTTGTTGTTGTTGTTGTTGTTGTTGCTGCTGTTTTTGTTGTTGTTGTTGTTGTTGTTGTTGTTGTTGTTGTTGATAGAAGCAGGATGGTGTAAAAACTAATATTTAGGAGCAGGCTACATTATTTTGGCACGTTTTAAAACCCTACGTCTTCTTGTTTATGTTGTTGCTGTTGTTTTTAATAGAAGCAGGATGTGTAGAAACTGCTATGTAGGAGTACTTTCTGGTTATTCTAAAATCTTATATCTTGTTGTTGTTGTTGTTGATGTTAATGTTGTTGTTTAAAAAAAAAAATCAAGCTGGTGAAGAAGCTGTTATTTAGGAGCCCATTATTATTCTGGTATGTTCTAAAATCTTATGTTCCCTTGTTGTTGTTTCTGTTTTTACTATTATTGTTGTTGTTGTTGTTGTTGTTGTTGTTGTTGTTGTTGTTGTTGTTGTTGTTGTTAATAGAAACAGAATAGCCTAGAAACTTTTATTTAGGAGCACATTATTATTCTGGTATGTTCTAAAACCTTACGTCTTGTTGTTGTTGTTGTTGTTGTTGTTGCTATTGTTGTTGTTGTTGTTGTTGTTGTTGTTGTTGTTGTTGTTGTTTCTAATAAAAGCAGGATGGTGTAGAATCGGTTATTTAGGAGTACAAATTATTCTGGCATGTTCTAAAACGTTATATTCTCTTGTTGTTGTAGTCATTGTTGTTGTTGTTGTTGTTGCTGTTTTTTACTAATGCTGCTGCTGTTGTTGTTGTTGTTGTTGTTGTTTTTGATAGAAGCAGAATGGTTTAGAAACTGTTATTTAGGAATACATTGTTCTGGCATGTTCTAAAACCTTACGTCTTGTTGTTGTTGTTGTTGTTGTTGTTTTTTTGTTGTTGCTGCTGCTGTTGTTGTGGTTAATGTTGTTAATGCCGTTGTTGTTTTTAATAGAAGCAGGATGGTGTTGAAACTGTTATTCTGGCATGTTCTAAAATCTCTCGTCTTGTTGTAATAATGGCTGTTGTCGTTGTTGCAGCTGAAGGCGTTGTCGGAGGCGCGGCAGCACGAGGAAGTATCACGTGGTCTGCGTGACTTGCTCCAGCGAGCCTCCAATGACGTGGACGTTCTCCGGTTCGCCTTTGTCCACGCCCAGCAGCGGGACGATTTGGACGGGGTGAGGAGAATATATACGTCTTTTGCTTTTGATTATTGGAAAAAATTGTTGATGTTTTATGGCCCCATTGCCACTATTTAGGTAGTATAGGAGGCAGGCTGCTTTGAAAGTGCCTGTCGTGGTCTATCCTGGGTGAGACGGATACAGTAATACATTATCTCAGATGGCATATAT